AATTTATTTTTTATTTTTTTATTTTTACTGATTTCAGAGAGGAAGGGAGAGGGAGAGAGAGATAGAAGCATCAATGATGAGAGAGAATCCTACTGGGGATTGACGTATGTCAACCCCTGCAACCTAGACGTATGTCCTGACTGGGAATTGAACCATGACCTCCTAGTTCATAGGCTGATGCTCAACCACTGAGCCATGCCAGCTGGGCGCTCTCTGCCCTTTTATGCTGTACTCAGGGAAATGGAGACTTAGCTACTTAGTAAATCTGGGGAGGATAACCTGGGCCTCAGCCTTGGCCTTCTTCCCTTGGCAGCAAGCATCGAGCTCTTTCCATCCCTGTAAGGGACAGTCGGGTGTGGGGGATGTGGGGAGTCCTGCCCCACCTCTTGCTCTGATGAGACCGGGTGAGCTCATCAGCTTGATCTGGGGGTTGTCCATGCCACATCCTCCACCTTAGCTTGTGTCTCCTGAGAAAGGCAATTCTTTTTTTTTTAAATATATTTTATTGATTTTTTTACAGAGAGGAAGGGAGAGGGATAGAGAGTTAGAAACATCAATGAGAGAGAAACATTGATCAGCTGTCTCCTGCCCACTCCCCACTGGGGATGTGCCCGTAACCAAGGCACATGCCCTTGACCAGAATCGAACCCGGGACCCTTCAGTCCTCAGACTGACGCTCTGACCACTGAGCCAAACCAGTTAGGGCAAAAGGCAATTCTTCATTCTCTTCTTTCTTAGTTTATTTAGATCCTGCTTACTGTATGCTGAGGCTCCTCAGAAAGCCCAACATTCAGAAACTTAAGGAATGATCTTAATGGCGAGGTGGGGCAGAGGAGATGTCCTGGAGTCACTCCTCCAGGCTCAGCCCCAGTCACTCACGGTCGCTCAGCACGTCGTAGGCCTCCGCTATTTGCTTGAATATCTCCACTGAGGCCGGCTCCATGGACTTCAGTGGGTGGTTCTTAAGAGCAAGTTTCCGGTACCTAGAGGAGGGAGGGTTAGAACAAGTCATAGCAGACCTGGCTCAGCTTTCTGTTGCCTGGGGGCCTCTTAGAGCTTTGGTGCGCCCAGCTGTAAATCAGGGTGCGGTGGCCAGGGAAGCACACTGCCCCTACCCTGGATCTTTGTGCTGATCCTATCCCCCACCCTCCAACCCCAGATGCTCCCAGCCAATGAATAAAGATGCTGGGGATATTAGTACTGGCCCAACCCTGAAGGACACAGGGCTCCTCATCACACATCCTCTGCTGCTTGAGGACTCCCCATCAGTCTGGCTGAGGTTTTCTGCAGACCAGGCTGCAGCCTTCCTTCCCCAAACCTTCCTGCCCTCTCTCCTTCCACAGGTGTCAAACCTACACAGTCCTGCTCCCCCTTCACCCCAAATGTTTCCCCAATACATTTTTTTACACCTCTAATCCTGTCTTGGTGTCTGAACGGACAGACAGGCCTCTTGGGAAGAGTAGATAAAATAAGGCGTCAAAGGGCCTGGTACAGAGCGGCACTCGTGCAGGTCAGGTGCTTTCACCGTCTCCAGTTGCTGTTGCCTATAATCTGAGACGGCTCCGAATTATAGGCAACAGTATCTCTTACTGAGCTGGGTTTGCTGTCCTGGGACCCTACCTCTTCATCCATGAGGGTCCTGGCTCAGCCCTTGGAGGCCGTGCAGAGAACCTGCTCTGTCTACCTCGAGAGACTTAAAGATAATTGTCACGACCCTTCTGAGACTTCTAAAGCAGCCCTCTCCAGGACAGAGGTTGCAGTCAGTTCTGAGATTTGCAAGTAAATTCTATCAGTGAGTAAGAGTAAAGAGATTTGAGAAGAGTTCAGTTTTTCATGTAAACGTGAGTGGCTTTAAAATGATCTCCGCAGTAGTATCACCTCCTCTCATTCACTTGCTTTTCTGAGTGGGAGGCGGGGTGGAGTCACAGTGCCACTGTGGCAACCCACAGTGAATGAGTGACACTGAAAACGTTCATTGGTGACTGATTACGAATCATTGTTATATAAGTTTAAATTGGGGGGTGTTGGCAAAATCTAGGTACTCCTATGGCAGAGTGTGTTATACATGTGACTCATCCCTTAAGAGCTGTTGCAGGGGAGAAGGGCTAAGCACCATTGTTTGAAACATATGCAGTTCTTTTAATCACTAAATACATGGTTTCAGATGCAAATGATTGCTGGCATATTCATGTTCATTATCTCATATAATCCCATTTCAATACCATGACAACCCTCCTCCCCTTCTTAGGGAGAGATGGGAGAGCTGAGGCTCAGAGAGGTTAAGCAATTTGCCCATGTCACACAGCTCGCAGGTAGGAGAACCTGGACTCAGACCTAAATCTTTCCAGTGCTTAAGTTGGGCTCATCGTTCTGGGTTCCAACTGCCCTCACTCCGCATGATAGTTCCCTAGACGGGCCCCAAAGGCCAGTGAGCTGCTCCAAACAGTGGATGACATGACACACTATCCTGAATTGTTCTTTGTTTCATGAGTTTGTGTCTTGTTTCTCCAGCCATACTGTAGCCTCTCTCCACTTAGTCACTTAGATACCTAATGGACCTGGCCCATGGTAGCAGGCCTGGTGTCTGAGTGCTGGCTCTGTTGTTTCCTAGGCCTGTGACCGTGGGATAATAGTGGCACCTGCCTCCCAGGGTTGTAGGATGATTAAGTGAAATAATGATGGAAGGTTCTCAGAACAACAGCTGTACAGTTCAATAAATGTAGTAGTATCACTACCCAACCTTAATTGATCGAATTATCCTAGATTCCTTCCTTTTTTTACCCTCCAATGATCCAAGTAATTGTCAAGTCCATTCTCTCCCCTCTAGACAGCCCCCTGCCCTACTTCACTCTTCAACTTTTGCCTTATCATCACATCCTCTGAAGGGGTCTCTCTCCTTCCAGTATAAGCTTCCACAGCACCCTGCACTCCCCCTTTTGTAACACTCAGCACATTTGTGACTTGTTCAACATCTGTATTCACCCACAAAATTTAAGCTGCATCTCTGAGTCATGCTTATATCTCCTAACCCATTAAGTAGTTGCTTAATAATTATTTGTCCAAGTTTTTTTTTTCTTTCAGAAAAATGTGCTAACTCCTATCCTAGACTTTTTTAGAAATAGACCATAACGCCCCCAAACTTGATGCAGTTTATTCAACAGTAAAACCCATGTGACAGCCAAAGTAAAACTTGTAACACATCCTTCTGGCCAGATCACTCTTCTGTTCTCAATCCTTAGTTCTCCATAATATTCAGAATAAAATTCAAATGTCTCCTTTGTCCCCATTTCGTAGTTAGGAAAACCAGGGCACCTAAGAGGGGAAGACAGGGCATGGAGGGTAAAGGATGATGGACTGGGAACCCTGACGCAGCCCAAAGCCAGGCTGTGTGCAAGGAGCAAGAGAAAAAACAAGGTTTACTTTGCTTGCCCAAAGCTGTGCAGGAAAGATCAATTTGAAAAAGAAGATGGGGCCTGCCCCAGCACATAACCCAGCTCCTGTCCCAACTTACGCCTTCTTGATCTGGGCATCCTCTGCATTGCGAGTGACATGGAGTATAGCGTAATAATCCTGCCCCATGGCTGGCTGGCCCGCAGTCCTCAATAGCCCTGACTCTAGCTGGGCTGTTAGTCTGCATTCCTTGGTTGCTCCTGGCAACCGCACAGGTGCACTCTGGGAGTTATAGTCCTTCCTGCCTAAGCAAACCACCTTCCCAGCTGTCTTACGGAAGAGTGAATGAAAGAACTGAGAGAACTGGGGCTGATTCTGTGACCCTGATAAAGATCAACTCAGAAACCTGAGGGTTAAGAGAATAGTGATTAGTTTTTTTAAAAAATATATTTTATTGATTTTTTACAGAGAGGAAGGGAGAGAGATAGAGTTAGAAACATCGATGAGAGAGAAACATCGATCAGCTGCCTCCTGCACATCTCCTACTGGGGATGTGTCCGCAACCCAGGTACATGCCCTTGACCGGAATCGAACCTGGGACCCTTGAGTCCGCAGGCCGACGCTCTATCCACTGAGCCAAACCGGTTTCGGCCAATTAGTTTTAATTTAAAATTTTTCATAACAAATGCATTTTGCTGTTTAAAATAAATTTTTATTTTAGAAGTTTTAGATTTTCAGACAAGCTGTGAAGATAGTAGTTCTCAAATACCCCACACTCAGTTTCCCCCATTATTAACATCTTATAAGCTCTTTGTACATTTGTCACAAATAATAACCAATTTTGACACGTCATTTATATCAGAAGTTCATTCTTTATTCAGATTTCCTAGTTTTTAACTTAATGTCTTCTTGCTGTTCCAAGATCCCATCTAGGATCCCGCATTACATTTAGTTGTCATGTCTCCTTAGGCTCCTCTTGACTACAATTGTTTCTCAAACTTTCTTTGTGTTTTTTTTTTTTTCCTGTTCATCAGATTATTTATTCACTTGATTCTTAGATTCACTTGTTGATAGATGCATACTTGGTGTTCATAACTAGTATCTTTACCTTTTTCTTCTTCTTCCTCTTCTTCTTTTTTTTTTAAAAATATATTTTATTGACTTTTCACAGAGAGGAAGGGAGAGAGATAGAGAGTTAGAAACATCGATGAGAGAGAAACATCGACCAGCTGCCTCCTACACACTCCCCACTGGGGATGTGCCCGCAACCAAGGTACATGCCCTTGACCAGAATCGAACCCGGGACCCCCCAGTCCGCAGACCGACGCTCTATCTATTGAGCCAAACCAGTTTCGGCATAGAGATCTCATTTTTTAAAAAAAGGCTAATACAACCCTAGCCACATGGTCCGCAAACTGCGGCTCGCAAGCCACATGTGGCTCTTTGGCCCCTTGAGTGTGGCTCTTCCTAAGCCTTAGGAGTACCCTAATTAAGTTAATAACAATGCACCTACCTATATAGTTTAAGTTTAAAAAACTTGGCTCTCAAAAGAAATTTCAATCGTTGTACTGTTGATATTTGGCTCTGTTGA